TATATATATATATTAATAGATTCCTTCCCCACCCCCTGTAGTTTTTGCAGGTGATGGAGAGGTTTGTGTCTGTGATAAGCAATAGCTATCACTAGATATTGGCCATCAATGACCTGCATTTAGAGCTGTCTTCCGAAATTCAAAACGTGGAACTATCTAGAATTATCTAGATTTAGATGTTATTGTAAAGGTGGAAAGTTTTTACTTTTCTGGGGTTTGAATCAGGATTGGCTTTAATGCATTAATACTGCTTAATTCTCATGACTATTGAAGACTGCTCTAGTAGTACATTAACATGATTAACTTCTGTTGCATATGCTTGGCTTCCTTTTAGTTATCGTCTACTTGGGCAATGTACCTCTGTTCCTCAGGCAGAAAAGTTTATCCACTGAAAATGATAATCCAAGTCTTTATTTCTTTATCTATTTTAATCCATTTCTTCAACTGTTAATATATTCTTAAAAAGAGTAATATGCTTTTTCTTTTTCTATAAAGTTGCAAAGTCATTTAAACCATCCTTGGTCCAAGTGCCATTTAAGGGCTCTGGGGTTACAGAGCTAAAAGGGTATGAGTTATCTCTAGTGGCAAAGTTGTATCTGTCTTGGCACAATAGCAGAAAAGAAGCAAAAAGTTGTGACACGTGGTAACTGTGAGTTCTTAAAATTCTCCCACTATGAGGAATGTAAACGTGAGCTGATTTGTTCTGTGATGTTTTTGAGATGAAACAGGAACTCCACATTTTTTAATGCCTTTCAGCTTATGAAGCAGGAAAATTTCCTCAGCAATTAAAGTATCAGAAGTACTGGGTGTTTGCAGCGGTCTGAACAGACCTGTAATGGTTGTGGGCATTGGTGCACATTTGAAATGCTTTACCTCTGTGTTGTTTACTATAATGAACTGGTCAATGAACATCACAAATTGTTTATCTATCTATATATATATATCTTGACAGATTACTGTTTATGAAATCCATTTAGCAAGTGAGGTTTTCCCATAAGGATGAAAAATGAAGATTTTAAACAGATTGCTGGAGAGGCTCTAACTGCACCTAGAGAGTCAATGTAATAAAGGTTCCTCTATATTAATATTACAAAAACCATTTATCCCCTCAAAATCAATATTGCAATTCATCTTGGCCTGACATTTCTCTTTCCATGTTTTAAAAGTCTGTTTTCCTTGATTATATGTAATTCTGTTTTAATAAAACTCAGATGGCTTTGACTCAGAGTATCTTGAAGAAGTAGCATTTAACAAAAATGCTGATAATATTTATTACATGATTAAAAGTTTCAAAGAATTAGGTCGTGGGTTTTTTTTAATCCTTAATTGACTGAATCCTTAATCCTGACTGAAAAGCATGAACTATGCAAACAACAAAGCCAGTTCTAGTGTTCTGCAGTTTAAGAAAATGACGCATGTGATTACACAAATACAATGTGTAATCCTGTGGAACAGAATGGGATGACATGTATGCTGCTGTCTGAGGGATCTGGAGCCTAATTCAGTGTAGGTGGAGGTAGGGAGCCTACACTTCTAGAAGCAAACGCAACAAGCAGAGCAAAGCAGCCCCACCCTGCCAAGCAGTGGAAGCTAATACTGTGACTGCACGTGTATGTGGGTTTGATTCTCTCATGTGTGAACGGTAATGAAAACTGGAATACTCAGGAGACCCTTATTCATAAGAGGTGCAGTAATATACAGGAGCAGTAAGAGCAGCTTGTCTTTCACTGTTCATCTATTGAGACACTTTTGTTTACATCCTCCCCCCCTCACCCACCTAAATATGTACTAAATATCATCATGTAAGGAAATTACGAAATAATAAAGTACTGTCTTACTGAGCAAATAATTCTGTCTTCATTTTTTTCTCTAACTAAACTGGTTTTTTTTTAGTCCTGACATTTATATAGTCTAAACAAAACCTCTATTTGAAGGGGGATTTGGATGCACTGTCTACAGATGAAAAGACTTAATACAGTTTGAAAAAAATTGCCCTTTTCTCTTGACTATAAAAGCGAGCAAACTACAGTATAGTGGTTTCCAAGAGAGAATGTATTTTATTTATTCCCAAAAGGATATTAGTCCATAAAACAAATTTGCAGCTTATTTTGCAGCTTTAGCTTTTATCAGCCTTTTTAAGGGTGTTGAATGATTACCCAGGAGATCACACAGCACGAGCTGCTGTGGAGTAAAAGAACTCTAATACAGAGAGCTCTGTGATGGGCAGAAAATGTATGTGAAGAGTTTTCTTAAACTTGTTTAAAAATCTGTCACATTTAATGTCTATTTCACTGATTATTGACCTGAATTTTAGTGTCCTAATGTGAAAACAGTTTCCACCTGCCCCTCCTCTCTCCCTTGCCTTAAAAAGCCGATACCTAAAAGATAACTCACTTTAATTTCTGCCTTCCTACTGCTAGAAAGAGACAGATCAAGGTGATGGCAATGGCTGGGGAAGTGATAAGGTAACTTGTGTAAAGGCACCACCACCTATTTTCTTGGGTCTGGTGAAACGGGCTGAGGAAAGATCAGCCAAATACAAATCAGTGACCCTTGTTGAGTCTTAGAGTTGGCAGAGCAAGGGGGACATGGCATAACTGTCTCTCCCTGAGGCTTTTCTGAGGTCTTTTTGCGGCTTCATCATCTTGGGACCTGGCATCTGGAGTAATGTAAGATTCCGTCCAGGCTGGTGTTGCTTTTGCCTGAGAATCGAACTTTTCCATCTCAGGAAGAGGGTGGTGAAGTGTAGATTCCGCAGCATGTTTTACCTGCACTGTACAGACCCACATGTCTCCCAGTCTATGTTTTCTCAAAACTCTTTTAGACTGCAGTAATTAAAATACAGCAAAATTAGAATCTAAAGTACAAAGTCTTATTTACCCTGTTGACTTTCTGTTACAACTAGTAATGGCAGCCTGTATCGCGGTGGGTAGCATTATTTGCAGTAAGGAAAAAATTGCTTTGCTTAATTTCTGAGACATTCCAAGTCTTTGAATAGTTGCGTAATCTGACATTGGTATCCCTGCTAGAAGCGAACATCAGTGGGGAAATAGTATGTCAAGTGGAAAGTTGATTGCGGGAGGTCTCACATGCAAAAGCCAAAGCATAAAAGAATCCTGAAAATACTCTGCTGATGCCAGAGAGATTTACAGAATTGAAATGTGACATTTATGTGATACCAATGGTTGCAATTTTTTTGTTCTTATTAATTAAAAATAATTTAATTTACACATTTAATTAAATATTAATTTTAGTTATTTTCAATTTTGTCCATCCGGCTGCAAAGAAAAATATTTTCTATTATTAATATTTCTTCAATTTTGTTTCTTTCCACTGTTTTAATCTGAGGGTTTTTTGTCCCAATTTTTGTCTACATTCGTTGTCTTTTATTCCCAGCGTGTTACATTTTTTTTAACTTCAAGTTGCCTTTGTGTACAAGAAATTATTAATTGATTTCTTTCTCAACAAGAGCCTCATTTCCTCTAAGTTAGGAGGTTGCATACTTCGTGCAGAAATCTACGGAAGCGGTTGCACATGTATCCCTGAACTCTGCAGCTCTGCAAGAAAGGTTGTGTGAGGAAGCATTGAAGGACTGAGTGCGTAATGTGGTTTTTACCGAACGATGTTATCCATTTTGTGTATGGATCAATACATATGAAAGTTCTTTAATTCTAAGCCGTTATAACTAAATTAGAATATTATTCTGGCATCAAGATGTTAATGTTTATTTTCATAATGGGTACCTTTTTTGTAAGTTATTTTTCTTTTTATTAGGCTAATAGATTTTCTGCCTCGTCTCAGCCTACTGAACTGTTTATGTTTTTTTTAATTATGTTACCCAAGAACCTTTTAAACAAAACCCTACTGTGCTTAACTGAAGTGTTAATGTGTTTTGATCACTTCCTTGATTTGTTTTTGTTTATAGATGTCAGCACTGTAATTGTCATCCTGCAGGAGCCATTAGTGGGACTTGTCATCTTCTTACTGGACAGTGTGTTTGTAAACAATTTGTAACTGGCTTGAAATGTGACAACTGTGTTCCCAATGCTAGTAATTTGGATGTCCACAACCTATTTGGCTGCAGTAAAAGTAAGTGGATGTTAGGTCCTAAAAGCATGTCTTTCAAATGAATATTTTTTTTTTTGTTATTATTGGTTTAGTGAGTATTAGTTAGGTCAGCAGTACTAAAATTGGGTTTGATTTTCCCCGCCTCCCATATTTCTGGTTCCTGAAGTTTGGGTGGTTTTCACTGTGAGACTCTTGGGAGTGTTTGCCAGGCAGATGTACAAAATGCTTTGTGTCATACGCACAGCTGACGCTTGCGTTCTAACCCGGGAGGTATTGATCGCCCACAGTTCCCCCGCACTTCCCACTGTGTTCTTTGTAGTCACCACTGCAGAGTTCACCTTTTTAGTCACACAAATGCAATAGTATTTGTACAACTTACTGCCACTGACAAGAGGCAGGAGAGATGTCTTCAAAAGATCTGAAGAACACAAGGTTTGTTGAAGGCATGCTCCTGGTATTTAATTAAAACCTGCTCCTCAGTGGAAAGTAGCTTTGTCTTTCTCCTCCTGCGGCTTCTTTTTTGCCTGCTCTGGCATGGGGTACTCCGCATGGGCACAGGGCCCAGTTGGCCTCAACATGGGCTTCACCACAGGCTGATGGTGAAATATCTGCTCTGGCTCCTGGAGCACCTCCTGCCTCCCCTTCTCCACCAATCTTGGTGACTGCAGAGCTGTTCCTCTCACATATTCTCTTTAGCTGGAGGTTGTTGCGCAGTTTTTGGCTGTTATGAAGTACCTTATCCCAGAGGCACTACCACTGTCACTGATGATCTGGCCAGTGGTGGGTCCGTCTTGGAGCCAGCTGGGATTGGATCTATTGGACATGGGGGAGGCTTCTAGCAGCTTATCACAAAAGCCAACCCTGTAGCCCTCCTGCTACCAAAACCTTACCACGCAAACCCAATACACATGTGTAATGCAACAACAGGGTTAGACATTCCTGGGTGATCTCTGGAGTATGTTTCTCCTCTTTCAACACAGTATTTCTGTGTATATTTTACGTAGGTATTTATATGACATTCATCACTGCGATATGCCTACACTAGCTTTGCAAGCAGAGATGTACATGCACGAAGAGTTCACTTACAAAGGCAGACAATTCCAGTTTGTATTTCATGCTAAATCAGTTTAAATTTCAAATATTATGCATTGCAGAATGCACAACGCTACAAGTGGGATAGAAAGAAGAGACTGATTTGTTTCCAGAGATACTAATTTTTCCTCAAAATCTGGAGGTGTTAAGATACAGTTTTGATTTGTTTTTCACCATACTCTTCTGTGGAAAACACAGTACCTGTTCATTGTGCAGACAGCTGATTGGCCTCTTGTTTCTTTAAAAAATGTAGGATGTTTCAACCGAATGTATAATACTAATAATACATGGCACTTTTATGTAGCTGTTAATCTTCAAAGTGCTTTACAGACATAAACCAAACTACTTATTTATGTTGGGATATACATTGGATAAAGGGCAATGGCAATCCAACTATAAAATTGATTAATAATAATATGAAATAGATAAATAATATCATAGATTTTAGTTAGGAAAAAATACCTGAGGCGGTATTCTACATGACAAGCGGAGTCCTCTTCTGGACATAAATGATATAGCAATTGCAGTCTTTTGGTTATTCATATCAAAATATTTTAACTTGTTGCACAGATATGGAGCTTTGCTTAGCTTGGTTATTTTCATTGCAGAATAGGATTTTGTTGATGCATACCATTACTGGTTATAAGTCTTTGCCAAAGAAAGCAAATGTAAGTTGCTGTCACTGTCCAACTAATATTCTTTAAGGAAAAGACTTGTTTTCAATCTTTTTGTCCAACAAAGGTTTCTTGGATGCTCCATAAAAAAATCTGAACTTTACTTAGACATCCAAAATGCAAAACAACAAATGTGAGAGTAATATGCAATAGAGTGAGACTCAGAATGGAGAATGAAGGTTCTGCCAGTAAATTCCTATGATTGCTCAGATCTTGTAAGCGTGTGTTACATGGAGAAACTTTCAAAAATGCCAGGGGGCTTTAGACGTGCTTACTTCCTTTGATTCTTAAACTTTCCTCCTGTAGACACACTGGCATGCATTCACTTCCTAACTCAGCTGAACTGAAAAGCTTTAGATTGGCAGCAAAACAACCTATGCTCTCCAATGGGAGAGGTATCTGTTCTGTTCAATCTGATGAATTCTAGAAATATTTTCTGCTGTTTCTTGGCTGAGAATGTGTAGTAGGAACAGTGTTTTTCATTATCTTACTCTAAAGAGCTTCAACTCACATTTTAGGTTTGTATTAAAAAAACCCCAGATGTGAGCTGACCCACTGATGTTGGTGTAAGTCTCTACATCTATCGCTTGTGTGGCTTGAGGTCCTCATGCAATTTTCTGTCTGCAGCTTCACTCTTTGCTTCTTGTCTCCTGTTAGCTTGGCTGAGCAGATTTTAAAAATTAACTTTTGGTGAATTGCGTATATTAGGTAAATATTCACGTAATGAAGATGATGATAGTGTATAAAAAGAAGGAGAAAAAATTAATGGAAAGTCACATATTTCTAGTGTTGACATTTTCTTGCAATGCTTTTTGTAAGTGCAAAAAGCTTATTGGGTGTTTCTGCATCCAGTTCCTGGTAGCTTACTCCATATGTTGACTTCTATACTGCCCTCGGCTACTGTCATTCCTGGAGCAAGATGTTTTCCTCTAGAACTACGCCGCCCTGGTTTTCCTTCCAGCACAGTCTGCCTTTGAGTCCAGCTACAGCAATTACGAGCTGTCCACACAAGCCAGTCTTGTTGTGTGCTAATGCTTGGTGTATGGAGGGGCAGAGAGCTGTGCTTTCCGTAGTATAGCAGGATGGCTGGAGATCTCGTAGCAGGATATGGACTCATGCTTTGGCTTGAATAATAATGTAAGTATATACTCATAGGATCATTTAGGTTGGAAAAGACCTTTAAAATCATCGAGTCCACATGTAAAACCGTACGCCTCTGTGCACGTGTGTGTGTATGTGTATATCTATGCATATAAAGTTTCATATAAAATTTCTACGCAACAGCCATCACCTTAGAAAGAACCATGATGCTACAGTCAGATTACAAAAGAGACAAAGGTGGGAGACAAAACGTGAGACTTCTGCCTTGTGAACTTTGTTTTTCTATTTATTGATACTAGTTCAGTTAAGTAGCACATTTTCCAGAGTTAATATAGGTGATAGCAGAGTAGTATTTTGGTAAATAAGAATCTCAAGATGATTTTTTAAAATGCTAGACATCTCACTCTCATCAATTTAAATTTCATTGGAAACAAATGGAAGTGAATTGCCTAAATAACCTTCAAAATTTGCCCCTTTATAGTTTTTGTCATTTAATTAAGTAGGTTTATTGTAACAATTCAGTAAAATTTGTAGTTAGTTGGACTTTCCATTTCTATTCTATTAGAAGAAGTTACGCCTGGCCTATGCTAAAATGGAATGAATCCTCTGAGGGGAAAAAAAAAAATTGTTTGGACTATAGACTTCAATATGTGACCAGATAAGCATGCTCCTGTTTTATAGAGGCTTTGAAATAAATTAAAAATTAAAAAAAAAAAAATCAGAAAAACTGTGATGTACTTGCTTTAATTTTTGGGGTGCGGGGGTGAAATGTGGGTTAAGTTTGTAATTTGTTCACATTTATAAATTTGTTTCATGTACTTGGATAAAAAGCTGTGTTGGAGAGCATTTGGTTGGTCCAGTTTACTCTATTAATGTCCTGTCTGAGTGTACATTTCCTTGGTTTTTTTATTTGCATTTTTGTTAAAATTTGTGTGATTATTGATTACCTTCATTTTTACAGCCTCTGTTTTTGTGTGTTTTAGCTCCATTCCAGCAACCTCCTCCTACAGGAGAAGTTCTCAATTCCTCTGTTATCAGTCTTTCATGGAGTTCCCCTGACTCTCCAAATTCTAACAGGATTATTTACCAGCTGTATAGGGATGAGGCTGAAATTTACACAACTGAAGACTACCACCCTTTTAGTAAGTATTTACAGGAAGGTGACATCCAAGATTTTGTTTGTGTGTGTGTATATATCTATCTATATATATGTGCAATTTTTATTTGTTTCACTTTGGTCATTATCATTCTCTGTGATTTTGAAGACATTATTCTGTGTTTCTTTAGTGCTTTACTGTTCTTGTGTTATTATTTGAAAGAAATCAATATTTCAGTTTAAAATCTGGTGAACTGAGTCACCCAAAATGGCTAGAATTTTTTGCTTTTTAGTATGAAAAATTTTAATCGACTCACTCTGCAAGTACACACAGACCCTAAAATCTGAAAAAGGCAAAGTTCCAGAGAAAGAATTAGGGTGGATGGAGGAGACAGTAATGTTCTTAAACTTGCGCTTTTTTGTTTCATTCTCCTGGTTTTAAACTGTTAACAGATTAGGAAAGCTTTTTGTGGTCTCTAACTTTTAGCACCTTCTGTTACACGAACAGTGTAGCTCCCGATTTGCCTTTAGCAGCACCACTTCTCTCACGTTGAGGCTTGCAAAGGGATCCTCAGAAGGCAGTCCTCAAGGATTCCGCACTTTGTCCTAGCTGGAAAGGCCATTTAGTGCTACTATTAATCCTCTTATCAAAGAAAAGGAGATGGATATGGATCCTGGTTTTATGTATATATGGCACAAAAGTGTTTTGCAGTTTGTGGGGGCTTTTTTGTGGGTTTGTTTTTTTTGGTTGGTTGGTTTTGTGTGTGTGGTTTTTTGTGTGTTTTGCTTTTTAAAAAGTTTGCTTGTTTTTTTAAGACAGATGTGGTTTGGTATCACTAAGGTTTGATTTCTGTTTTAGCAGCTTCCTTAGTTTGTTGCATTTTCATACCAACACAGCATTAATATTTTTCAGAATTTGAGTCTTTCTAATTACTAGCATGTACCCTGGAGAAAAAAAAATACTATTATTCAGTAGAAGCCCAGATCCTTTGTACTGCACCTAGCATTTTTATGTTCTGGTGCATGCTGCTGTGTTACAGTTGTTTACTCTGTGGCTTATGCTGTGAATTTACGCACTCTGCAGTACATGGCATGAGGAAGGGTATGTGACCCCCTGTAAGCATAGGATTAAGTGATTGAGAGGAGAGAAAGAATAGAGAGCTAATAGAAAATATTCCAATTCCTTAATTTAGTTTCAAAGTCTAACTGTAGTAAAAATATGAATTAATTTTGCAAGAAAAGCTATTACACTTCATTGTCATAAATTTGTGCTCTGTGATGTACTCGAAACTGAGTGCATTGTTGAGGGTATTATTTCATGACTGTACATACGTACTTTGTAGAGAGTGAAAAAATCTGAATGTATTTAGCTGGATAATGCGATGTTAAGCATGTTTCTGTTTAACAAAACATTATTTTATAAAAACATAGATTTTGTTTCAAAAGACATTTTTGACTTTTCCTAGCAGCACCACTAATTAATGATGTGAAATCATCTGCTGGGGTTTCAGTATCAAGAATAAACTGTTAATACTGTCAGAACTTTTGATAATGTTACTTTTTTCTCAGTATAGTGTGGAATTTGTAATGCTTATGAAATGCCCCGAGTGTGCAACTAGATGAACATTATCTTATGACTAAATGAGAGTTTTATAGAAACATTGAACTTCCCAAGGAAAATTAAGAAAAATCTTCTAAATTGGCCTGCTGATCTGCCTGATAGTATTGCAGAATGCCCAATTAAAACAATGTTTTCCTAACTGCTCTGGGAAACCAGAGGCTCAGGAGATACTAATCCTTGTCTTGAGGATAAAATTAAATACTTCCTCTAAAATGTGAAAAAAAAACCCCAAACCCAACCCAAAAGTTACTTATGATTCTAATTCCAAATCATGTTGGTTCTCATTATTTATAGATGTAGCTAAATACGTGGTGGAATTGTTCATCTGAAGAATGTAGAACCTTACATATTTTGGTTTTATACAGTTTTATCTAGTCTATTCCTATTGAAATAAAGTTACCATCTGGTCATTAGGTGTTCATAAACACTGAATGAACTTTCTTGAAATGAAATAGCTGAATCTCCACAGCAAGATTGAAATCTGCTGCATCACTTGCCTGACCACTACTAGGTCACAAGGATCTCACAATAACTGTTACTATCACTGGCAGAGTCATTCCCCATCCTTACCAGGGTTTGAAAGGCACAAAGATGAAATTACCTGGTCTCCAGCAATAAGTTGGTTATCGGGATACATAAATTATATCTCAATAAGGAACTTATATATGTGTGTGTGTGGTTGAAGCGCAGTGTGAAATTACTGGGCTAACACTGCTGCTTTTGTACTACTACAATGTCAAGGGTTGAATATCTAGCAATACTAATAATTCTGTGGTCCCCGTGAAGTTGTACCAGGACTGGCTTGCCAGTACAGGTGTAGAGAGATGACTTAGAAACCTCTTGTTCCTCTCCATTGGCTTTGAAAATGTTTAAGAGTATCTGGGCTCTGGCATAATACCCATGCTCTGTCATCTAACGTATTACTCCATGTTCACCGTTTCTTAAGGCAAAACGATATATGGTGGTATGGTTGTATGTAAATTCATATTGTGCTGTGGTGACTAAGATGTGTAGCTGCTTCTAGGATATACGTAGGAGTTATTCACAGTTATGGCTGTTAAAAAGCTGTCTAGAGTAATGGGAAGTAGGGGACGAGGAAGCTAAATGTAGGCTTTGGGTATACCTTTTTAATAATTATTTGCACTTCCGTTTCAGTTTTTATCCAAGATCAAATGCTTTACAAATGAACAATTAAACACTAGTTTAGAACTGGGGAAGTGAAATCCCAGAAAAGTGAAATATTTGATCTTATGCTGTGAAATGAATCAAAACTAAAAGTGTGAAATTTACAGAATGTTTTTTTATTTTTCTTAAATCAGAACCACTAATATCAATGCTGATTTACATTTGAAATAATTATTTCCAAGCAAAGGAGGAATAAGAAGATAATTGTATTAATTGTGTTCATGATTAGAACAGGAACTAGGAGAAATTCACTAGAAAAATTATTTCTGTAGTGATGCCAATGTGTAGTGAAAGATAATACAGGGAAAAGGGGAGTAAGTTTTCCCTGTTTAAAAAAAAAAAAAAAAAGTTGAAGTTACAATGTTCATGATGATCTCAAGAAGGGCATGCAAAGTGGCATAAATATCTTATGCCTTCAGTTAGGGCTGGAAAGACTTTAAGTATGCAAACGAAGATTATTTGTAATGTGTTATATTGATACAGTGTTCTTCTCACATGTTTCTTTTAGGTGTTCAGACCTTCACCGATACCATGTTATCACCATATACCTTCTATTCCTACTATGTCCAAGCCAGCAATGTTCATGGCTTTACTAGAAGCGTCTCGGTGACATACAGAACAAAATCTGGGATTCCTATGGGAAGCTTGCATTTAAATCCTGTCTTTCCTGTTAGTCACCATTCTGTTTTACTTCATTGGACAAGCCTCTCCAATAACTCTGGGCCCATAGAAAAATATATTTTGACATGCACTAGCTTGGTTGATCCCCAGCCTTGTGGTCACTATGAAGGCTTAAAAACTTCAGCAATTATTTGGAATCTCATTCCATTTACAAAGTATGTTTTTTCTGTGCAAGCCTGTACTAGTGGTGGCTGCTTAAAGAGCCAGCCGGTAACAGTAATTACTGCACAAGCTCCTCCGGAAGGGCTACACCCACCGCTGATAGAAACCCTCAGCTCTACAGAACTGGCTGTGGAATGGTCACCACCTGAGCAACCAAATGGTAGGCCATTGTATTTACTTTTGTAAGTCAAAGACTGCAAACAAAAAGCAACTTTTTCTCAAATTTGACTAGAATATCCTTATCCATGAGGCATAAACTGAGAATGAAATAAGGTGTTGTCCTAATTTGCCTGTCTGCCATTAAATATATCCTCAGAGTCTGTGTTTTATACTTCTGGAGTCTAGAACTCCAACTGGATGTGTTGGGTCCAGGATGTAGCCCTTAGTGACATCTGTTAGAGCAAAAATCACATTTATAATTAAACACTTAGGGTAAAATTAATTATTTCCTAATTTGCCAGATCGCCTAGTTCAGACAGATGTGGTGATATTGCCTGACAAAGACTAAATAAGCAGATAACAGTTATGGAAAAAAAAAAGAATTATCAAAGAAGTCTGTTTTTTAAAACCATCCGTCATGTGTAGTAACTAACTCTATTACCAGTATAACTTTGTTAGGGAACAGGCAATTGCCAAGAGTTGCTGGTCTAACTTGCATAATAATATTTTAGGTTATTGAAACTGAGAACGCAGCTGTTGTAGGATGCTTTTGTGATGCCACAAGTTTTACTGGCAAATACTTTATCTTTTAATATATGTACAATGGAGTTTTGGCTTACATGCACAACTACTTGTGCATGCAAAAACAAGCATTTTGATCTGTCCACAAAATGGGCATCTGTGTATGCAGACCTCAGCTTTCTCTTCAGACGTCTCACTTGCCAGCTCTTACCAGGTTAGACAGGAAGAATGCCTGCCTGCACAAGAATGCCTGGATGTATTTAGAGGACAGTTCCTACAACGCAAGTCATGATATTTGCCGTTGGCGCTTGTCCCCCAGCCTGTAGCATATACTCATTTTTTACTTCATAGTCGTTACGTTAATGTAAGTGCCAGCACAGGCAGTTTTAAGCAATACTCTCGTACTTCTTTTGATGTCTGCTCAGATTTCCTGGTCTTTCCAAAGACAAGGAGAGAAACTGTTTATCACAATCTACCCCTCCAGTTCTGTGCCTGAATACAGCCCTAAATACATACATTTTATGGTAATTAACAATCACCTGGCTTTGCTATGTTTCGTCTTTCCCATTTGGGAAATCTTATACTCTGTTCCTGCAGTTAAACTGCTTTCACCATCTGACCTGGATCGTGTATCACTTCATGCCACACTGCTGACGTTATTTTTTTCAAAGTGATGAGACCTGCCTGTGTATGTAATAGGTTTACTTTGATGAAAAACTGACACACACATCTCCTATCCAGTAGTATGCTCTAAAAGTTTAGCATCTAACTGGCATTCAAGAACTTCCTATCCATTGTGTAAAAAATGAATCAAAATACTTTTGAAAATCACATGCCTGAAGTAATTTCCAGTAAAATTTGATCAGAACTTTAGGATATTGTCTTCCAGTGAAGATGGAAGAACTTCTGCCGTAATCCAGCCATTTGTTTTCTAATCCCAAAATCGCGAGGAAGGAAAAATAATCAAAAAATGCCAAAGCAAGCATTTGGATGAAAATAGCAGAAACAAGGAAAACTTCTAATGCTATATTTTCTAAGATTTTGATTGGTGGATTGTGAGCTCATTTGATATATTGGTGTTGGTATTTTAGTTGAACACTAGAAATCATTTCAAGGCACTAAGTTTCCTGGCTTGCTTTTTCCTCTAGGCATAATTATAAGATATGAACTTTACATGAGAAAAAAATTAAAACCAGCTGGGAACTTTCTTCCTCCCGAAATTCGTATTTTCCAAAGCAGTGGATGGCTCAGTCCTCAACCAGTAATGGAGTCTCCCAATGAAAATGCCCTGGCTCCACCGCAGACCAGTGCCACCGTCACTGATCTGGAGCCATTCACAGAGTATGAATTTTATGTGCTAGCAGTAAACATGGCGGGTAGCATATCTTCAGCCTGGATGTCAGGCCGAACAGGAGAGGCTGGTAAGTATTGGTTTGAATTTGTTTGACATAAATGAAAGGAAGAACTAAATCAAAATGTGTTCTCTTCTTTCTTCTCTCTCTTTTTTTTTTTTTTAAATCAAATGCATCTAGTGATGATTCTAGACAAATTCTCATTTTTTAACTAATTAAAGATAGGTGAGATTATCTCAGAATTTCGCATGTTAAGCAAAAGCATTTTCTTCACTGTAAAATAGTATTTTTGAACAAAATAATCCCTGTCAATTATTAAGAATTTAAAATCTACAAGATTTTAAGATCTACTAAGCATTGTTTGAATTCCTCACTGTTTTCCCAGTTGTCCTTTTAAAGAGTGAAAACATGCAAAAAAGATTGCTTTTCCCACAAATATAATAACAGTTGGTGTGAATCAGGAATGTTTTCTGAGAAGGTACATATCTTTGGGAAGGATGCTCTAGTGAGTTTTCCTCAACTGAGGCTCTGATTGCTTATAATGCAATTTTTTTAAGAACTTGAGAGGGTTGCCTTTCAGGAGTGTAGCACTTGAAACTTTTCATATGCTTTTGTGGAGGCCAAGTCTCAAAATATGGACCATATTTTTCAAAAGTTTACGAGTTCATAACTGCTCTTATTATGGCCCTTCTGTTCAGATTTTCAAAAGGTCTTGTCACTTGACATATTGTCTGAAATAACAGCTATTTATTTCAGTGCTTACATTAGAAATCTAAAGCTTTTTTTAGGCTGATAGAGGCCATGTTTTGTAATTAAACATCTCTTACATCACTGATGTTTTTGTTTGCTCTTAGCTTGAAAATCACATCCTCTGTCATTTGCTCCTGCAAAATAGCAGGCTAAACTAATTCCGCTTTCAAAATGAGCCTTTGTGCTTATCTGTTCTTAAATACTATATGTTATAAAAGTGTTAAATTGTATTTGGGAAGAGGTCCATTAGTGTGGTTGTTTGTATGTAGCAGAAGTGCTATGAGTTGGTATCCTATTATTACAGAGTAATCAGGTGGGGATTTAACTGCAGTGCAAACAATCCTTTTACAGATTTACTATGGAAGACAGGGGAACTGTTTTGTAAGAAGTGAGAGACATGTTAATTTCAAACTGGCCTAGCAAACAAAATTGCTTTTAAGATGCTGAAGGATTGAACACTTTTTGCTTTTATCAGTTTTTTCCCAGGTTGCATGAAGTTTTTCTTCCAGACTTTTTCATTTGCATGTACTTTCCTACCTGCTACAGGGGTTAGGACTTTAGTGCCGATCAGTATTTCTTTGAAGGCATAAGCAGAGTTTTATTCTGCATTCATGGTCAGAGTAGGAAACAGGAGAGTGATGGGTGGGTTACTTTTCATGTGCTGTCAAAACAATCTGAAAATTCCTGTTAAACTTGAAAATAAGGTTACAAAAGAAAAGACTGTCTGAAATGGTGTTTTACAAATACAGTGAGAAAGCTGGATTTACACACATTGCTCACGTATTTTATGAATGTTATTGTATTAATTTGATTTTAGCCCCAGTCTTCATGCCACCTCCATCAGTATTCCCACTTTCACCATATTCTCTCAATGTGTCATGGCAAAAACCTGAAGATAATATAGCAAGAGGAGAGGTGATGGGATACAGCATCAGTCTGATGACAGAGCAAATGTTCTTGCCACCATTTTCCCAGGTATTACTGTTAGTTACATTAGGTTTTTTCCTAACAGGTACTAGTAAAAGTAAAAAATCTGATGTCCTCCCTGATGTGATGAATTATTTCCCTGATTTGCTGTATATCCTCTTATCTAACTTTTTCACCTTTCAGTTTGAGTGCTCTGTAATGTTATGCACTACTTTCAGCTTTTAAGTTTTGCTCCTGAGCTGACTTGTTTTCATAGTGGGTGAGATTAAAAATTAGGAGGGATGAGACTGAGCAACAACATTTAAATTGCCTTGATCTTTGCATGTTTTGATTCTGCTACATTTGCTGAAGTGCTTTAAAGCCATGTTGTTGTGCAGGAATCTGCATTTACTTTAAGAAGGTACCTGTCTGGCTTCCTGGATAATGGACAACTCTTTGAAACGGGGAAACCTAAAATATCAGAAAACCAACTGTAAAGTTTAAATATGTGATTTTAAAATACTGTTGTAATATTTAAGAGACTGGGTTTGACAAACAAATACCATGGCAGTAGTAATAAACTAAAAGCTTAAGAATGAGCAAAGAAGTGTTGTAGGTAGTCAGAATGTGGAAGTGGATCTGGTTGTATTTCTCACTTCAGAGCTGATTTTGTTTTTCAGTGGTAACACAGGTGAGCCTTAGTTTATTTGTCTGTGAAGTAGGGATGCTGTTGCTCCTGGGGCTGTTGTAACAATACATAAGTATAAATTGTTTCTGGTCACAGGTTTGCAAGGTTTTTCATCTAAATAAACATCAGATAAAGAAGTTATCTGAAATACAACAGTTTATTCAGTTCCACACTCTCTGATAGCTTAAAGTAACGTTAAAGTAAAGCAGATTCAAAAGTCTGTAGGTACTAGTCCTCCTCCCTCCCAATGCCTGCTAATCATGTCACTCATTCAGTGGTGGTCAGGTTTCACTGCTTAACAGTGTCATCTTCGTCATCTGCGTTGTAGCTGCACTGTTTCTAGTGATAACTGCACCACCACACAGTTTTATGAGGCAATAACTTTGTTTCCTCATTTATCCACTCAGGAACTGGCTTATTACCTCATAAAACAGTGTGATGGGAAGTATTATCACCTAAATCCTTGCTTGTTCAGATTCTCCAACATAATCCTCTCCCTTAGCTGGTCTTTGCAGGCTTTTCCACATCTAAGTGAAGGAATCTGTAAACTCAGGGACATGTTCCTTATTAGTGAACCTATCATCGATTAATAGGAATGAAAGTATTACTACCCAAATGTCGTCTTCCAATCTGTTTGCTTTGCAGGTTTTGCATATAGCTGAGGCTCATGAGCTATCCTATGTGGTGATGGGATTAAAACCTTACAGGACATACAACTTTACTGTTACTCTCTGCAATCAAATTGGCTGTGTAACCAGTGAGCCGGGCATGGGGCAAACCCTGGCAGCTGGTAAGGAAACAGTCTGTATCAAAGTGCAAAGCTCACACACAGTTTGCTAATGAATACCGTTAAGATGATCATAGTTTGATGCACAGTGACAGGGGTAGGTGTTGTATTAATACAAAGTGACTTGCTTAATTATTATTTGTTTATCTTGTCAGATTAAAACCAAATGTTGTCAATGAAGGTTTAAGGTACACTATTATGGCAATAGGATTTGTGTACCATTCTCTCATTTGCAAGTTATGGATATGTATATGTTTATTCCTGTTTATTTAAACACTAACTATACACAAATGTGATTGAACCCTTTCATTCGTTTATGATGCTAAGAAGTTGTTAATTTGTTGTTGGGGTGTTTTAGTGTGTGTCATGTTTACACAATAGGGCATGTAAAATGCATGTGCCATCCCAATGTCTTCCTTAACCTATGAAGGGGGAGTTGCATGGTTTTTGTATTAAACTCCAACATAAGTATATAGTTTATTAGTGTGTCTAAATGGGAAGCAAAATACATGCTTTGGGTTTGCTCTTATGAAAAATTTGTGGGTTGTTTGGGTTTTTTTATTTAACCCCTGAGATTTGCGAGATTTTGTTTTGTAGATATGTATACTCACACTTTCCTATGGAAATAGTGCTTAAGAAACTGCATATATGTGCCTGTGTGCACCTTAATAAATTTTCAATCTTTGTGTTAATTTCAACCACATATGTCAGGGACTTCAAAGGTACTAACTTTCTACAAATTTAGGAGAAAATAAGCATCAGTACAGAACAGAGATGGAGAAAGCCTGTATTTACTTTGAAGAAAAGACTGGCATGAACTCACTCAAGTGAGTTAGGATCAAGAGAGTTAGGAGAGAGAAATTGTTAGGAATAACAAGACACAAGTCTTGTTATTCATGGAACAAAATAGTTTGTACAGCTCTTTATAATACTATAAATATAACCTCAAAAATCCATGTTATGTAACATACACTGGTGGTTACCTACAAGAGAGATGACTAATTAGCATTGTGCTTCCCTTTTGTGTAGGCGTTTAAAACACATTAATTGCTTTTACAATGTTAGCATTTTCTGTTAAGAAATTAGTGGTGTTGTCATATGGTTGTTGTGACAATGATCTTGGAAATTCTCTCCCCTATGTAATTTGGTCTTCCATAAGAAAAAACGTGAAACCTTCTCCTGTACAGAATGTTTTCCTAGGTTCCCTGGACTGCATCTGAGTTATCTGAATTCCATCAAGTTCCTCTGCATAATTGATGATGAGATAGAGGAGCTTCCAGACAGGGAAGGAGATGCCCAGAGCTAGTGAACAGGAAGCTCTATATGCATTAGCTGAAGTGGAATTTTAGATGTTGGGTTATTACCTTTAGTCTGTCCTCGGTTCTTTGTCTGTGTCTTTATTTAATTGCCGTTCCATTTGTTCCCAAGTGGAAGATAGATGATTTATTCCTTGATTCACCATATCATCTTTGTTTTTCTGTGGCAAAGATTGTTCTGTCAGTCTTCTCTCCCGATAAACTGCCGATTTCAAAATCTGTTTCCTCATATTACCACCTCTGAAATTTCAAGCTGACTGTCTACAGACCCTCCTACATCCCACACCACACAGCCATGCAAGGAACAGTGTTACAGTCTGTGCTGATAACCATGGAAACAAATATGGCCTAAACAGCACACCTTATTACTACAAATGATCCAACTTTGCATTTATAGATTTATTAAAAGATTCAGAAACAATAGCTTAGTTATGCTTGACAGCTTGTTTATGACCATCTCCTCCCTGGTTGAGTTAATACGTAGAGACCTATCACATTAGAGAAGATAGGCGAATACAAAATAGAATAACAGACACATCCCGGTTTATTAGCTGTTTTGCAACGTAGCTTTTTTCTGCCTGCTGTTGTAAGCCTGGAAAGTGAAGAGTCAGTCCTATATTAGGATCCTTTTATGGTTTTAAAGCATATTAATGCACTGCCCTAAATTTTGACAAACCAAAGAATAAACAACTACATTTTGCATGCAACTTTATCTTTCATTAATCATATTTTTCATTTCTGAAGAAAATTGTTTAGTAACCTCCATCCAGTGGTGGCTGCTTCTTTGGTGTTTTGTTACTGGTGGTTTTTTATTTTTTTTCCTGGTGCATGTTCCATTTTATGAAGTTCTGTAAAACTGTGTTTCCAAAGAAAAATTAAAAGCAACACTACCTATGTGATGACTTTTAGATCAAAGGGAGGGTAAACTTGGAACAAAGTTAGGAGAAACCAGTCCCATTTGTAAAAAATAAATGATAGTCCATTAATACCCTTGTGTGTTACTGAATGGTGCAAAATCAAATTAGAATTGCCTTTTTAGGACTGTTGAGGAGCTCTGTTTGCTGAAGGAATGTCTCCCTGGCACAAAGACAGCCTCCCTGGCTGGATGCCAGTCCCCCTCCATGCCCTGGCAAAGGGAGCTTTTTGGAGGAAGTCTGGACTGAAATGTGTTCCAGCACGACGGTCTCCGTGCATCATAACACGATCCAAGACCTTAGAATTATGTTCCAAGTTGGGCTAGAGGTTATGCTAACTTAGACTAATTCTCCTCCTCTGATCCTGAGGAGGATGATGGAAAACAATCTCCACTCATTCCATGTGTGGATTTATCACATGGAGCTTTTAAATCAATGGGTACCTAGGTGACTGTGATTTTGGTGCATCCAACTGGTGTATATTAGCAAGGGGCTTGCTTTTGGAATTGCCAATGCTTTCTAAAATTTGCCCCAAGAAGTCTCAAGTAATTTTTAAACTTAGTTCATATCCATCAAGTTAATTTGAAGACTAGCTAAAAATAAAATACTTCTCAAAATCTAGCAGTCTTCTTTTTCTCTGGCAATATGTTTTTTTTTTTTTTATATGACGTAACACAGCAAATAAAAACAAGGGCATGAAATTATTAAAAACAAAAGTGCTGAGGAAGAAACTGAGAGGCTTTGAGAAAGGATTTAAGAGACTTCTGCAGTAAGGGCCAGAATCTAGGTGTAAGACCTAAGGGAGCAGGAGCATCAGAAATAGTCTGTTGAACTTTCAATGGGAAGTCTTTTGGAGTATAACTTAATATTGGCTAAAATAATCCAAAAGCAATTGTAATAAGCAGATCCTCTCTAACCTGGTACAGACACCCATACCAGGGATATCTTACGAGTGGCTTTGCAGGGGAGTGAAATAAAACTACAATCAGCCATATGTCCTTGCGTCTGTCAGACTGCCAAAAAATCTCCTCCTCAACAATATACACACCCACAATATTTGTAAATGGTAATAAAGGAAGACAGTTGAGCCAGAAGAATGTGAGGAAGCAAACAAAATAGGATTAATAGGAGTTGAATTATTTTATAAAAAAGCTGAGTGGAAGCTGTCACAAATGCATATGAAACCAGGGAGAAGAATAGGTGTGAAAAATAAAAGAACTTGCATGGGTATGCCTGGTGCATGATCAGGTCCGAGACTGGCAAAAAGTGTTGGAAGATCAATGTTATGTGGTAATGTAGTATTGGGATGAAAGATCAAAGCAAACACATCAAGGTAAGGGAAGAAAATAATCAACCTATGTCTGTTCCTCAAAGAGAATCTGGCTGTACAGGTATGTTCAGATACAAATATACAGATAGTTGACTTTTAAAGGCTCAAATAATGAAGAAGTGTTTCATACTTTTTTTAATCAGTATTTTAAACCTAAAATTAAAGGTGTGCATTCCACAATCTGTGTGGTATTTAAAATACTCTTTATGCAGTGCAGTATTGTGCACATCCTATTGAAAGTGTTGGATGATAGATGACCAAAGGTCATTTTTAATACTTTGTTTGAAACTTTGAAATAGAATTTGAGCTTTTTTTTTGTGTTTGCTACCCCAAGATCATCAAGTGGAACTGCATGCATGTAACTGAATGCAGTACTGGACAATAATTATGCATTTTTTCATCTCAACACTTAGAGCCACATTTTACTTAATTCCTCTCTCCAGGTTCTGCTGAGGTCAAATTCCTGTTTACTTTTGCAAATGTCATTCAACCTGTTGTTGTTACCTGGTCTTAAGCTATTTTTTTATTTTTCAAAAGCACTTTTTGCTCTGTGCCTTTAGCATGTAGGATTCTGATCTGGTGGTACCTTGGAATCTATAGACCTGTACAAGCTGGTAGCAGTGAAAGGCCTGGTCCCATAAAAGTGATATTTTTTTTTTTTTTGACAATGCATTTGCATAAAATTAGTAATTACTTGCATTATTCTTTGCAGCATCTACCAAGACAAAACATGCATGTTTTCCAAATTTTTCCCTGAGGCAGAGAAGCATCTTTTTCTTTTTTCCCCAGCAATTTCTGACATTTCAACAGGATGCAATTAGCCATGTGAGTGCTTGGACTAGTACAATTGCTTCTCTTACCCCTCTCAAATCAGATACTCGAAGGGTGCCTTAAACAATCTATACAGCTATGTTTCATTAACTACTGTGTGACTGAGCTTATTTCTTGTAATTAAGTTAGTCTTTCCTTTGCCCTTCCTCATTTTAAAAATCATTTTTTTAAAAGACGCCTAAGTATGGCTTTGTGATTGCTGCCATTTACCCCAGCACATTGTATTCCTGATCCTTTGCTTTTGATGGCAATTACAGGGTTCAGAAGCTAATTGGTAGAAGAGATTCTTCCAGCACCAGCTGCATCTGGCTTCTTGGCAGACTTCTCAAGCAGTTGTATTGGTGGCTTTGGAGCTGCCTCTGGGTTTGCTGGGGTAATGATGCTGATGGGCTTTCTGGGCTGTCTTACACTCCTTGATGTCATTTTCTTTTTGATTAGTTTTTTAATCTGAGTAATCTGACCATTTTTTCCATTCATGAATAAGGTCCAGTGCAAGCCCTTTTCAAAAGCCTCAACTCACTTCTCATGGCATACGGTATTTGTTTATGCCTGTCCTAGACTGCTTTGCTACAAAAAGCTATGCCTCGATTTTAAAGTCACAAATACCTATTA